TGAACACAGGAGTTCTTTCTTATTACAGTTCTCCTGTTCATTCGTTTACTGAAAGCAAGAGGCTATAATATTTAAATTCCAAAATCTACTGTAATTGTACATAGTTTGCTTTCGCGTAACTAGGCACTCGCATTATTTATCCTATTTGGATTTATGTGTATTTATTACATGGCTCTTAAAGTCACCACTGGTTAAATAATATGTGTTTCTAATTTTCCTGCCCATGGTCACATAATTATGGGACTTCTATCTTTTACAGGGTAAATCTTAAAGCACAGTTTGACCACTTTTCTCTTATCAGTTACTTTAAAAAAAAAAAAAATACACATCCAGGCATTATCATACCCGGCCGGGTCTTAGGCTATTGTACTTTCCCTTATGTATTAGTCTTCTACACAACTACATCTCTCCGCTCATAGGTTAAGCCTTACAGTCCTTTTTCATCAGGCTCTTTACAGACCATTAGCATGATTTAAAACCTCTGTTCCTTAAAAGTCCTTATATACTGGTTCCTTACACTTAGACTGCATATTTTTGGGGGGTTTTACTACTTGTATTTTTCTTCCAACAAGTAGAGGTACCCAGTATCCCGCATTTCTGTAACAGGTAAGAAGGTTTACCATTTTACGTCCTCCCTTGAGGCCTCATTCAGCCTCCACGGCCTCATACAGCCCCCCACCTCCCAAAGTGGGTTCTAAACTTCAAACGGGCCAGATCTGAGATTCCTCACAGCGAGTAAACATCAATCACAAAAACCTACACCACCTTGCTACTAATACTTTTCTTCAAACAAAGCTCCTATAAGAGGTACCCAGTATCCCACATTTTGGTAACAGGTAAGAAGGTTTGTAACGGACCGTTTTGCCCAAAAGAGGTTAAAAACAGTTTAGGCGATATTCCCCTTTTTCAGCTGCACTGACAGCTACTGCAAGCACCAATCTCCTGAACTGCAAACCCACGAATTCACCAACTCCCTAACTGCATACCAAGGGAATACTCGAAACTCCCGAACTGGAGACACAAGGATAGCTGCTAGCAGACGAACAGGAAAAGCCCCCAAGCGGCTTACACTCCTGGCAATCAGTCTCTAACAGCATACAGTAAATCCTCCCCCAATAATGAGACGACACTTCACTTTGAGGGTTAAGCAGGAACTGATTTACTGGGGCTAACTGCCCGGCTTTTATGCAGGCCTCCCACCTGGTGGACACTCCCCTAGGGGACCAAATGGGAGACTGGGACACAAAGGGTAAAAGGACCAATCACAGACTTACACATTTCAACCATCCCACAATGCATCACAATCCTTCCTCTCTGCTCTGGAGATAATTGAGAAGTAATTCAATTATCTCCAAAGACAGAGGCAAAACTCCATTAACCACATGGCAGAAAACAAACAGTAAAAGACATAAAATTACCTACAGTTACATTCAGTACATAAAACATATACGTTCTACATATCCCCAGATAGCTCAGGTCTGAGCGCACATTATTAAGCGAATGGCGCTCAGACCACACGAATACAGTTTAATCGCCATGGAGCCAAAGTCTTTACACAGTCAGTTTCATGCGAATGGGCTCCATGGGATTCCTATCTGGGGTACAACACACTCAAACAAAACTACCGAACACCCGGCAGAAAAGCACAAATAAGTATTTTCTGCAGGGAAAAAGATGTCTTTTAACATGGGACCATAGTCCAAAGGCAGCAGGCGAGCAACCAGGCTTCTCCAGTGTACAGTGGCGATGTTGGTTTCGCCACAAGGTTTACCATCTTACGTTTTCCCTTGAGGCCTCGTTCAGCCTTCACAACCTAATACAGCCCCCCACCTCTCAAAGTGGGTTCTAAACTTCGAGACATACCTGGTCTAAGATTCCTCACAAATGTCAACAACAATCTCATAATCATAATCCACCATACTACTACTATATTTAACGGTACATGTTTTGTCATTAATTTCTACATATCATTACTTAGACCTGTGTCATTACCACAGCTTGCCAAGTCCTACACCATCAACAACCTACAGGCTACCTGGTTCCCTTCTTTGCAGTATCAGGTATTGGTAATCTTACTCACTACGATTACGTTTCTACTTAAGGCCTCACTTCGCCTTCGTATCATTCAAATAAAATTCACATTGTGGGACCCCAGAGGCTTGTCTCTAATTGACGGACCAACGTTCAGGTCCCTCAGCTTACGTTACGGTATCTCTGATACACACCTACCCATATGTTCACAATTTTTGCACTCATTATACCAGTGGCACGCCTCAGGCCCACTAGCCTCTTTTTCCCAAAGGTTTCCCGGACCGGGCCCGTTCCCTACAGAAGCAAGAATATATGGTAATCTCCCTGCGCATCAAAGAAAGAGGACAAACACTCAAGGTTTAAGTATCTACATACGTTATATATCACACCATTCTAAGAGACAAGCCCCATCAGGCTAGAGAACTGGCATTGAGGGTTAGGCGCTGGCCTTAGCTATCATAAGTAATACTACGGTCCCGCAAGGTCTACACCCCACCTCATACACTGAGGTTTCAGCCCCACAACCAAATAGTTAGCCACCTCACTCGTCCTTTTTTAGGGCTACAGTTAGGGCCTCCCAAGTCACGGCCACATGCTTTGAATCTCTTACAGTCGCTGAGAGGCCGACATTCTGCCACCACGTTCTAGTGGCCACAAAATTCCCTCGGCCCAAATCATAGGTAGAGCCTCTCTCCGCCACTTGGCACTAGCAGGGCCTCACCTGTCACTTGGTTCTAGGTAAATTCTTTGCTTCGGCACTAGCTAGCAGGCCAGTTCTCCAAAGGTCTCATCCACACCTATAAGACACATTGCTTATCCAAATCAATATTTCTTTTTCAGAATGTCACAAGTATCCATCCCAATAATCGGTCTGCTGTTGGACGGAATACCCAGCACACCAGTCTGGCCTGGGTCTCCAAAGGAATCCCTCAACCCTACTACCCTCAGTTCCTGGGATTCTGGTACACACTGGCCTTATCGCCATTCCCACCACTACACTCGTATGCCCTAACCTATTATCTGCACCCTTTGACCCTCTTACGGTGGACCACCTTCTGTCCACAGCAGTCATACGCTGGTTTCACGATCGCCTCCTTTCGGTCTTCACACTTCTCATCTTGGCGTACCATTCCCATCGAGGTAGCCAGTCACTATACCCTATAATGCTGATCATAGACCTCTTCCGCACCACACTCTACATCGATTCCCAGCATCAAACTCTCTCATTCCCGCTATGTAGTTCTCACTGCACTACGAAAATCGACCATGCCATACAAACTATCACTTCAGTAAGTAGTAAGGCTTGTTTGAGCAAGACGGACTTATCCAACGCCTTTAATCTACTACCTATTCACCCTTCACTATGGCACCTGGCCTACGTTCGGGTGGCCATACTCACTAACCATTTTGTGGCTGATTTACTGGCTGACTTTTTAGTCTGCCTTTACATTCATGGCGTCCACAACACAGCTGCTGACGCTCTTTCACGCTCAGTTCAAGGTCTTCTTTCAGGCACCCCGTACGTATCATCCAGGATACCACCATTCCATGAACTAATCTTGGACTAAGCACACAATTACACCTCGTACAGTTACGCAGTTTCACGACTACTCTTTCACTCACGCTAGGGCTTTGTACATTGTACCATGTCACAATTAGAGTTTGCTTTATTCATGACTCTTACAGTTAAACTATTGTAATTTTTGCCCCTTCCTCTAAACCTACAAATCAAGCATCTTATTTATACCTCTAATGCTGTCACTCCATTATTTATGTATCCAAGGTCAGCCACACACTATCAGTACTAATTAATTACTTTGCGTCTAAACCTTCCATTAAGGTAAGCTACATCATGGCTTTCTTCATTGGTCTCTCTTTTTCGCAAAAGTGCTGCATCAGCAGCTTCAACCTCTTACACCCCAGTCTACATCGCTAAGTGATGGGGCCACAGGTAATCCTCAGCTCAGTTACATATATATACCTCAATCAGAGTAAAACTCCTTACAAGGTTTCAGTACCCACACTGTATAAACTTGCAATAAAGTGTGTTTTTCTTTGAATCCTCTTTTGCCCTCTTTTACAGGCCTACTCGTACGTTGGTTTCGGCACACTTCAACAATTTTTGCTTCTCCTTCTACATTCCATTACGTATTAGATAAATTCCGAGCACAAGTTGGAAGGCCATTTGGCCTGAATTTGTGGGAGGAATTATGATCCTATATAAACCCTACCCTCCTACTTGCCTGTGCCGTGCAAGTTGTTTGTCCCCACCCACCTAAACCCATCTATATTTACAATTCACCTTGTGGGCCCTCTTTTATAGGCCTACTCGTACGTTGGTTTCGGCGCACCTCAACCAACTTTGCTTCTCCTTCTACATTCCATCACGTATTAGATACATTCAGAGCACAAATATATATATATATATCACACTGACGTAAGTATTCAGACTCTTTGCTGTGATACTTGAAATGTAGCTCAGATGCATTTCTCTGGATCATCTTTGAGATCTTTCTTCATCTTGATTGGAGTGCAGCTGTGGACACGTTAAAGTGTTTGGACATGATTTGGAAACGCACACCTCTGTATACATTCAAATGTCATGCATGCACTGTAACTGTTGTGACGGAGAGCTGAAAAACAGCTTGTAGAACGGCTGTGATTCATTCTGTCTTCTACTCCAAGTCTGGATTGACAAGTGAGGGATCATGTCTTTGTATATAATTATTATCTTTTAAGATCTAAGCATCAGCTAGCAAATCTGCTACCCCAATGTAGAAATTAAATTGAATGTACTTTTGTTGTAGCCACAATTATGTGTGTCATGACAGGTACAATATTAACAAAGTAGGTATCAGTTAGTGCACAAATTCTTTATTTTAAGATCTCTAATATTTTATGGGGCTAGGGGTGAATTGTTTTTAATACAAAATAAATTATTTGTGGAGATTCACATAATAACAATGACACCAGTGAGTAGTCATCAATCCAGATGGGGATGTAGCCAATCATGATCAGAGGCGTACTTCGGGTTAACGTCACCCAAGGAGGGTTTTTCCATCAGCATCAGCCCTTAAAAAAAGTGACCCACCAAGTATCAAAACTACTACAACGTATCGTAGGGGTTTCGGAAGCACAAAGTTATGGATGCAGTCAGGGGCGTGCCTGGAGCATTTGGCACGCCCACCCCACCCCTCCCCTCCCCCCAGCTTAAAAATTTAAAAAGCAACCACACATTTTTTACATGTATTGAGCACTGAGCAGTGTTTGTATTTTTGTTATATCTACCGGTATTTAGCACTGAGCAGTGTTTGTGTGTTTGAATGTAAGCATGTTTTTTGTATGGCGTATGTGAGAGTGAATGTACGGGTATGTTTGCATGTATTGGCATTTGGATGCAGGAGTGCATTTTTCTGTAGTGTGGTTTTTGAATATGGTGGTGTGTTTTTATGTAGTGTTGACATTTGGATGCAGGGTTATATTTGTGTGTAGTGTAGGCGAAATGCTGAGATGTATGCACATATATACCCACACACCGGTACACACATGCAGTTACATAGAAACACAGTCATACACACATACAGACAAACACTGATACACATACAGACACACAAATACAAACACACATATAGATACAAACACACACATATAGACACCCAGAGAGAGACACACAGGCACAGACACATGCAGAGACACACACATAAAGACACACTGATACAAACAGACACACACACACTGACACATACAGATACACATATACCAAAACACATACAGATACAGAGACACACATGTATAAGTGTGTGTCTGTGTGTGTGTGTTTGTATAGTGTATGTAGTGTGTTTATATAGTGAATGCAGTGTGTTTGTGTAGTGGATGCAGTGAGTGCTTGTATAGTGGATAATGGTGTGAGGGACGGGGGTAATACTGAGAGAGGGGGGTCTTGGGGTGAGGGAAGGGGGGTGATGGTTTGAGGGAGGGGGAAGGTGAGAGGGATGTCATGGTGTGAGGGAGGGGAAGTAATACTGTGAGGGAGGGGGTGATGGTGTGAGGGAGTGGGGTGATGGTGTGAGGGTGATTGTGTGAGGGAGGGGGATGATGAGAGGGAGGGGGTGACAGTTAGAGGTGACTGTGAGAGGGAAGGTGATGATGTGAGGGAAGGGGGTGACTAAATACTTTAATTCCCTGTTGGTCCAGTGTGGGCTCCCTGGTGGTGATATCCGGTATGCAGCTTCGCAGTGTGCAGAGCTGCAGACCATGAATCTCGCGAAATCTGATCAATCAGAGCGGTGCCACAGGTTACCACGACAACTCTCTGACGGAGTCTCGCGAGATTTATAGTCTGCAGCTCTGCACACTGCGGAGCTGCAGACCGGATATCACCACCAGGGAGCCCACACCGGACCACCAGAGAATTAAATAAGTTATTTAGTCCTTCCTTCCCTCTCACAGTCACCCCCTCCCTCTCACCGTCACCCCCCCACACCATAATGAGTGCATAATGAGCAAGCTGCCATGCCCCCTCCTGGTGTCAGGTCTTCAGTCAGTGACCCAGGACCCGAGACAGTCTGCCTCAGGCACCACCCTCGTAAGTGGGGGCAGACTGCTCTCTTTTTAGCCCCATTCATCTTTCTCTGATGTCATCAAGGTGTAAGCAATGAACACACACCAAACATTTGGCGTCAAGATGCAAATTATTATTGAATCTATTTCAAGTGAACCCACAGGGTTGCATAATTGTTTAATTTATTTTTCTTAAACCTACTTGTCCAAAAGACTGAGATTGGGACGCATGCTAAGAGCCCTGGACATTGACAGTGTTATCGAATTTAGTATGGATGTCATTCTGAAATGGTTTGACCCTGGCGTTGGTCCAAATCGGGGGCGACCAACACAACTGCCCCTGGCTTTCTTTCTCTCAGCTGACACAGTATAAGAAAGGTTTTGGCAGACAGTTGTTGACAGCCTATCACTTGCCACTCAATCAGAGAAATAGTACATACTACGGTGGTGGTATTGTTCCTTCAAGGCAAAGGGCTGGCTGAGTACTTTGGAAAACTAAATTAATAAACACATGCGGAGAGCATGACCTGAATGCAATGCTAGTCGCATGTTGAATGAGCTCTTAAAAAATGTTGTGCAATTTGCATGCATTTACTGTTAATGCCTCCTCTATTGATACTCTGAGCACTTTTCACACCTCCTCTGTTGATACTCTGAGCACTGTTCATTCCTCCTCTATTGATACTCTGAGCACTGTTCATTCCCCCTCTATTGATACTCTGAGCACTGTACATTCCTCCTCTATCGATACTCTGAGCACTGTTCATGCCCCCTCTATCGATACTCTGAGCACTGTTCATGCCTCCTCTTTTGATACTCTGAGCACTGTTCATGCCTCCTCTTTTGATACTCTGAGCACTGTCTATTCCTCCTCTATTGATACTCTGAGCACTGCTCATGCCTCCTCTATTGATACTCTGAGCACTGTTAATGCCTCCTCTATTGATACTCTGAGCACTGTTCATTCCTCCTCTATTGATACTCTGAGCACTGTCTATTCCTCCTCTATCGATACTCTGAGCACTGTTCATGCCCCCTCTATCGATACTCTGAGCACTGTTCATGCCTCCTCTATCGATACTCTGAGCACTGTTCATGCCTCCTCTTTTGATACTCTGAGCACTGTTCATGCCTCCTCTTTTGATACTGAGCACTGTACATTCCTCCTCTATTGATACTCTGAGCACTGTTCACACCTCCTCTGTTGATACTCTGAGCACTGTTCATTCCTCCTCTATTGATACTCTGAGCACTGTTCATTCCCCCTCTATTGATACTCTGAGCACTGTACATTCCTCCTCTATCGATACTCTGAGCACTGTTCATGCCCCCTCTATCGATACTCTGAGCACTGTTCATGCCTCCTCTTTTGATACTCTGAGCACTGTTCATGCCTCCTCTTTTGATACTCTGAGCACTGTCTATTCCTCCTCTATTGATACTCTGAGCACTGCTCATGCCTCCTCTATTGATACTCTGAGCACTGTTAATGCCTCCTCTATTGATACTCTGAGCACTGTCTATTCCTCCTCTATCGATACTCTGAGCACTGTTCATGCCCCCTCTATCGATACTCTGAGCACTGTTCATGCCTCCTCTATCGATACTCTGAGCACTGTTCATGCCTCCTCTTTTGATACTCTGAGCACTGTTCATGCCTCCTCTTTTGATACTGAGCACTGTACATTCCTCCTCTATTGATACTCTGAGCACTGTACATTCCTCCTCTATTGATACTCTGAGCACTGTTCATGCCTCCTCTTTTGATACTCTGAGCACTGTTCATGCCTCCTCTATTGATACTCTGAGCACTGTCTATTCCTCCTCTATCGATACTCTGAGCACTGTCTATTCCTCCTCTATCGATACTCTGAGCACTGTTCATTCCTCCTCTATTGATACTCTGAGCACTGTTCATGCCCCCTCTATCGATACTCTGAGCACTGTTCATGCCTCCTCTATCGATACTCTGAGCACTGTTCATGCCCCCTCTATCGATACTCTGAGCACTGTCTATTCCTCCTCTATCGATACTCTGAGCACTGTTCATGCCCCCTCTATCGATACTCTGAGCACTGTTCATGCCTCCTCTATCGATACTCTGAGCACTGTTCATGCCCCCTCTATCGATACTCTGAGCACTGTTCATGCCTCCTCTTTTGATTCTCTGAGCACTGTTCATGCCTCCTCTTTTGATTCTGAGCACTGTTCATGCCTCCTCTTTTGATACTGAGCACTGTACATTCCTCCTCTATTGATACTCTGAGCACTGTACATTCCTCCTCTATTGATACTCTGAGCACTGTTCATGCCCCCTCTATCGATACTCTGAGCACTGTTCATGCCTCCTCTTTTGATACTCTGAGCACTGTCTATTCCTCCTCTATTGATACTCTGAGCACTGTTCATGCCTCCTCTATTGATACTCTGAGCACTGTCTATTCCTCCTCTATCGATACTCTGAGCACTGTCTATTCCTCCTCTATCGATACTCTGAGCACTGTCTATTCCTCCTCTATCGATACTCTGAGCACTGTACATTCCTCCTCTATTGATACTCTGAGCACTGTTCATGCCTCCTCTTTTGATACTCTGAGCACTGTTCATTCCTCCTCTATTGATACTCTGAGCACTGTCTATTCCTCCTCTATTGATACTCTGAGCACTGTTCATGCCTCCTCTTTTGATACTCTGAGCACTGTACATTCCTCCTCTATTGATACTCTGAGCACTGTTCATGCCTCCTCTATTGATACTCTGAGCACTGTTCATTCCTCCTCTATTGATACTCTGAGCACTGTCTATTCCTCCTCTATCGATACTCTGAGCACTGTTCTATTCTCCTCTATCGATACTCTGAGCACTGTCTATTCTCCCTCTGACGATACTCTGAGTACTGTTCATGCCTCTATCGATACTCTGAGCACTGTCTATTCCTCCTCTATTGATACTCTGAGCACTGTTCATGCCTCCTCTTTTGATACTCTGAGCACTGTTCATGCCTCCTCTATTGATACTCTGAGCACTGTTCATGCCTCCTCTATTGATACTCTGAGCACTGTACATTCCTCCTCTATTGATACTCTGAGCACTGTCTATTCCTCCTCTATTGATACTCTGAGCACTGTTCATGCCTCCTCTATTGATACTCTGAGCACTGTCTATTCCTCCTCTATCGATACTCTGAGCACTGTCTATTCCTCCTCTATCGATACTCTGAGCACTGTCTATTCCTCCTCTATCGATACTCTGAGCACTGTTCATGCCCCCTCTATCGATACTCTGAGCACTGTCTATTCCTCCTCTATTGATACTCTGAGCACTGTTCATGCCTCCTCTTTTGATACTCTGAGCACTGTTCATGCCTCCTCTATCGATACTCTGAGCACTGTTCATTCCTCCTCTATTGATACTCTGAGCACTGTCTATTCCTCCTCTATCGATACTCTGAGCACTGTCTATTCCTCCTCTATCGATACTCTGAGCACTGTCTATTCCTCCTCTATCGATACTCTGAGCACTGTCTATTCCTCCTCTATCGATACTCTGAGCACTGTCTATTCCTCCTCTATCGATACTCTGAGCACTGTTCATGCCCCCTCTATCGATACTCTGAGCACTGTTCATGCCTCCTCTTTTGATTCTCTGAGCACTGTACATTCCTCCTCTATTGATACTCTGAGCACTGTACATTCCTCCTCTATTGATACTCTGAGCACTGTACATTCCTCCTCTATTGATACTCTGAGCACTGTAGTCAAGCAGTGCAGACTCAGCTTTGACTACGTTTGGCAGTGTTTTAGGTTTTTTCAAATATTTTTAGGTTTTTTAATGAAAAGTTATGTTTCTTAAACTGTGTACTTTGTTGTTAAAGGATTTTGCAACTTGACAAGTCATTAGAAATAGAACATATTGATTCTCATACTATGTTTCGTTAATAAATTGACTCCTTACCTGGATCCATGAATAAGATGCCATTGTACAGCGCTACGGAATTTGCTGGCGCTATATAAATAATAATAATAATAAATGTTTACACTTTAAAACGCCATTTTGTCCTAAATATTACAAAAAAAGGTATAGACTTTTTACCAACGGGTGGAGCGCTATATTAAGTGTAAAATATAAGGGGGTACACTTACCCCTCAAATACAGTGACAATCTTGAGAGTTTATACTTAAATGTACAGATAAAACAACAAAAAAAGAGAGAATATAGTGCAGATGGTTTTATACCGTACTTATATTTTACACTTAATATAGCGCTCCACCCGTTGTTATAAAGTCTATACCTTTTTTTGTAATATTTGTGTTCTATTGTGGATAAGGGTATTCCACTATTTGTGTTGAGCCGCTTCTTCTGTTTAGGCACTTTAGAGTATCACTCACTATCTCTGCCAAGAGACAGTTGTTTTTTGTATTAAATTAGCCATTTTGTCCTAGGTCAGAGTAGCACCAAGTCAGGGCCTTGTGTATGTCATGGTCAACCGTACGTTTTAGTCCAAACAAAGATTAAGATGTCTAGGTTATGACAATAGACTGACTAAGATTATACCCATGTGAAGTCAAGGATATGTCATTTAAAGGAATCCTATGGTGCCAGGAAAACAAATCTGTTTTCCTGGCACTATAGGTTTAACAGGTACCCCCCTCCCGCAGGGCTGAAGAGGTTAAAACCCTTGGCGCTGTGTCAGGCTTTGCCCAGCTCCTTCCCGGATAACGTCAGCTGGCGGGGGAGACCTAATTCGCATGCACGGCAATAGCCACACACGCATTAGACCTCCCCACAGGAAAGCATTATTCAGTGCTTTTCTATGGGGAAACATCTGACGCTGGAGGTCCTAATGCAGAGCGTGAGGAAGTCCAGCATTAGATATCGGACCAAAGATCCATTTGGATTCCGGAAGCACCCCCCCAGTGGACAACCACTGAGAGCAGACTTAGAGCTGTACTGCGGCACTAAGTGCAAAAGGGACACTGTACCCAGACCACTTTGATTAGCTGACGTGGTCTGGGTGCCAACAGTGTCCCTTTCGTGACCTTGTCATGGTACAAGCTGTTATAGCAGCCTACTCGGCAACAAGGAAACAAGAGGGGCAACTAACATCTCCAGCTTATGTAATCTGAGTCCCCGAAGCCTCCACAGGGGTACCCAAAACCTTCAGAGGGATAACCATTTCCCCCTTACCAGTGAGGGATATTCCGGTATCAAGCTGACACCCCTCAATTGGGTATATCACTCTGGTACTTGAGTGTGCAGCAGTTGCGTACTCACCTAAGATGGCGGCTGGCCCGAAGTGACAAGTGATAGACAGTCAAATGCAACACAACAAGCAGACACACAACCCTACAAGCAACACTCTCACAAACATACAACAGAACATGCAGCTTTCACATACATACACACACCCTGTCCCAGAACTGTTTCCCATATCATCCAACCACCCCCACCTAGTCACATTCTCCCCTCAATCACACCCCAAACTAGCTGTATAAATGCATCCAATCTAATACTCCAAAATATATATATATATATATATGTGTATAGACACAAAAGGAATAGAGAGTCGGCTGTGTATAATCTAGAATAAGAACAAAAAAATACGTAGTGTAATACAGCTAGAAACAGGTTATAGTGCGCTGGTATAATAATGCGCTCACAGGATCCAAATGAATAATGCGCCAAAAAGGTGCCTGCCCCAGTGGGCGGCTAAACGTCTCCACTCTCCACTGGAACTCCAAGCGGACCAAAATATGGAATGAGACTCCAATGTAGGTAGGGTAAAATAAATATGCAGATTTATTATAAAAAAATGGCCAAACACATAAGCCACATAAATAAAATAAGATAAGGTCCTACGCGTTTCGTTCCTATACAAAGGAACTTCCTCAGGGACCAAAGGCAAATAACACAATGATTAAAAACAATCAAATACAAAAATGCATACAGATTGCCATAAATATTTTATTTATGTAGCTTATGTGTTTGGCCATTTTTTTATAATAAATCTGCATATTTATTTTACCCTACCTACATTGGAGTCTCATTCCATATTTTGGTCCGCTTGGAGTTCCAGTGGAGAGTGGAGACGTTTAGCCGCCCACTGGGGCAGGCACCTTTTTGGCGCATTATTCATTTGGATCCTGTGAGTGCATTATTATACCAGCGCACTATAACCTGTTTCTAGCTGTATTACACTACGTATTTTTTTGTTCTTATTCTAGATTATACACAGCCGACTCTCTATTCCTTTTGTGTCTATGTATATGTTGTAAAAGGTCAGGAACTGGGCTACGACCTTGAGAGGCTGTTGTAACTTTATCAGATAAGTATATTCGGATACCATTATACAATTTCAGGTATAATTTCTATACATATATACATGTGTGTGTGGGCTACCCAACGCTTTTGTTTTATGAACTGGGTATCAGGAAATTATTTGGGCATTTCACGTGAATACCACACTCAGTTCTAGAAATTAGGCAGAATTCGGTTTTCTGTTCTATGAGAAAATAAAATATTAACCTTTAATTCATGTTCCAAAAAACGTTACTGAACACTGAGCTCATCATTAAAGAGCACAACGTTTTGTACTTTATTTATTAATATTTTGCGGTTTATTCAACAACTTGGGACCAATTAAATTTTAAATATGTTCTGCTAAAAGCGTTTGCCTAAGACTGGACATGAAGGGGTTAATGTACATTTGCTGCCCTCCTTTACACAAATCATGGTATTGGTTGAGACATACTCCAGTTGACAGTCAAATACACTGCATTCATAAAGTATTCAGACCTCTTCATTGTTTTATGTTGCAGCTACAATTGTTTAAATTATAAAAAAAATTCCATGTCAATCTGCAAGCGATACCTCACACTGAATATCGATTTCAATAACATTTTAGTTTTTTTTCTTTTAATACATTTGCAAAGTTTTTAAAATCTGTTTTTTGCTTTGTCATTATTGGGATTGAATGCAGATGTGAGGAAAAAAAATATAATTTAAACAATTGTAGCATAAAGCTGCAAAATAAAAAAGGTGAAAAATGAAGGGGGTCTGAATACTTTATGAAAGCACTGTACCCGCAATTTAAAAACACTCATCAGCTTTCGTTTTTCACATGCCATAACCCCAAACAATCAGGTTAAATATTCAAACAGAGAAATCAAACTAATTTAGATTCCTCCCCCTAGCTATCTGGTTAAATCAACACTACAGGGTCAGAAACACAAACATGTATTCCTGACCCTATAGTGTTAAAATCACTATCAGTCCCCCTACTCCCCCCTTAAACATAGTAAAATCTTACCTTTATTCCAGTCTGAAGGCACTGGCCCTGCCCCCGATCTCCCTCCTTGGCTGACATCATAAGAAGTGATGATCTTAGCCAATCGCAATGTTTTCCCATAGGAAAGCATTAGATTGGCTGAAATTGTCAATTCTGATGAGGCATGCCAGGGGGCGGAGCCAAATGCCAACCTGGTCAATCAGCATCTCTAAGGGGAAAGCTCAGTGCCTCCATGCAGAGGGTGGAGACACTGAATGTCAGTCACACTGTGCAGCACTGCCCCATGAAGCACCTCTAGTAGCCATCTGAGGAGTCACCAGTGGAGGTATCCGTAGGCAGTAATGTACACACTGCATTTTCTCTGAAAAGCCAGTGTTTGCAACAAAAAATTATATTAAGCTGTAGTTATTCTGGTAACTATAGTGTCCCTTTAATGCTTACAATCATATCAATATCCCTAACTCCTTTTTTAACCTCACCACCTTTTTCTTTTTTTGCATTTCAAATTCATGTTATCATAACTTCTCCCTAGTCCAGTTACAAGCCTGGTATAATCACACAGTGACGAAACCTCAAAAGCTCTCATGCCAACCTTCTATCTCTGTGTTAGGTCAAACCTCCTTATTCATAATGTGATGTCGCTCTATGTATTACAAAACTGTATTTCACTTTGTGATAAACTTTATAACACTCTCCCATTACTAATGAGAAAAGAGAAAGAAGCACTATGTATCGCTCTTGCCTAGCTTATCACTAAAGTCAGAGGGATAGAACATTGGCAGCTGTGAGGTTCAAGGCACAGTAGCCATGGAAGGAAAGTAAATAGTTATGCCGTGTTTGTTTCAGATGTTTGCATACTCTGGATGCAAAATAAAGATGCGCTTGAAAGACAGGACGGTGAAAAAAACAATAATCCCTTTTCTCTCGAGGGTAAATTCCTGTCTAACGAACATTACTTCAATGGTACATTGATGTTTTGAGTAAGCTCCTAGTAGGTCAAAGGGAATTATGGAGCCTAAAATTGCTGTTTTTATTGTACTTAGGAGGAACGAGAGGTTAAACATTGTCCACAAAGTTCTTATGTTACAGAAATATGTTAAATCTCTTTGACCGTTATCACTTAAGATTAGATTTGGCAAGGTCTTCTGGCATGACACGCCCTTTCTTCCTGGCTCTATCTTTCTTTGAATTCACTTTGCCTAACTTTTTCTTTTGAATATTGCGACGTCTCTTGTCCTGCCTCTTCTGCATACGCTCAGCAGTGTGCTCGGTTCGCTTATCCCAGAGCCTCTTCCTCTGGTCCCGTTGTTTCTCCTTGCGCTTCAGGGCCTTCTTCAGCATTCCCTCATCATCCTTGATCTTCACCCCTTCAGCCTTGTACAGAACATTGGTCCATTTGATCTTGGACTCTAGTTCCAAGGCTTTGCTTTCATCCTTTGCCCTCAGTTCCTCCAGTTTGTTATTTCTCAACTCCAGGCGGCTAAGCAGTTGTTTATAATTCTTTCCCGTCATCGGGGTTATGTTGCCTTTCAAACATTCTTTTTTCTCTTTCTTTTTCAGTGGTTTATTAAGCGGTTCGTCATGAACCTCCACCTTGTTAAAGACCAGCGGCACGGAGTCATTTATTTTAACTACTTCAGGTTGCTTAACATCAGCACTCCCAACTTCTTCTATAGTTTCTGCTGCTTTCTTTTTCAGCTCCCTCCTTTTTCTTTTTTTCCGCTCCCTCTCCTGCTTTCTCCGCTGTCGTCTCTTTTCGGCCTCCTCTGGGGAAAGACCTTTGGTAGAAACCTGCATTTGAAGGGGACAAAAAAAGATGGACTATCAAACTTCTAAAATTGAGAAATTGAAAAAGAAAATTATTTATTATACCATGGTTATGAACTAGCATGATGGTTTTCTATGTTGTAAGCTGGACTCCAAGCATAACCCTTCACCTCATGTGTTCACACAGCTAGCAAGCCTCCCAACTAGTCCCAATTTTCAGGTCCTGGCAAGCTGTCCCAACATTTGGGGACACCAGAGACAGATGCGCTAGTGCTATGTTCAGAGCTCTAGGACTCAGCAGACAACACTGAAACAATGCACCCCAAAGGGTCTGCTTTCATTGGGCTGGCCTGAACGATGGACAGGCAGCTCCGCGTGCCTTTACAACTGTTTAGAGATTGGACTCACCAATCCAGGATTGTATTGACTAGAGAACCTCTCTAAAAAAGTTTGGACATTTCCCACAATTCTCTGCTGGCCAAACCTCTGTGCTAGATACCCCCATTTCAATTCAGTTTTTATAAACACCCTAAGACCAGGTGCTAATTTTGGATCCTTACCTGACCACGGGATTCCTGTATCTTTTCCTGCAGACGTTTCCGTAAAACATCCACGGTGGAGAATGAGCTCTTTGTGGTCCATAAAGCTGTAGGAATACAATAATGTGTTGAAAACTTATAACATATCTAACACAATAATTTCACAATTACCTTAAAAAAGACGGGCCATCATGGAGAAAAAAAAATGGGTTTATTTAGAACTGAACATTTAAGGGCAAAATTGCCAAATAGGAAAAATATCCAACTTAAAGAGGTTTTTTTTGGGGGGGGGGTTTAAATCAATCAGCCATTTTGGTGTAAAGTTCGTTTTCCTTTGTCAATTATCTCCAGTTGCCAGTTTATTGAATTAGGCCATAATAATTACATTATGTAACATGTGCTGATATCATTTCTGATGTCAACAGCAAACCAATATTTGTTACAAACAAACAAAAAAAGGCACAGAGATGCAGAACCTTTGTAACCTTACCACTAGATGTATCTGAATCGCTTTAAGAATTTTATAACAAGTCTATCATGACCAAGCCATGAATGCTGTACGACAGTGACATGTAATGCTGGCTGTACATTGTCTGAAAAATCACCCACCTGTCTTGATTTCTAAAACATGCCTATGTTAGAGGAGCAAAGTCAATAGTAACAGGTACAGCGGGTAGAAAATGTCAAGATAACGAGGTACCAGGAGAACCAAGATTTTTGTCAACTCTATCGAAAGTAGTTTAACACAAACGGGGGGAGGTGCCAACAGATTCTCTGCACTATAACCACTACAATGAGCTGTTGTGAATACTATGTTCTACAGCAGCCGGAACAAGTGCACACAACAATTCACTTTCAACAAGGCAAAGCACCACAACCAATACAATTTACGGCAGTGGTTATCTAACATTTGGTTGGCACCCAAAACTAGATTCTTATGCCAATTCAGTGAATGATCTTTTTTCAAAATAATGTGGCTAAACAAGTCCAACAGCTTTGACACAGACAAAGAGAACAAAATCAAAATGAACAGAAATTTCAATTCTGTCAAAATGCACATTTACAATTCAACGGCTGGAAAGGTCCTATATACGGGTACTAGGTGTGTGGAGAGACATTTATCCTGAGACTTGGAAACACAACTTTTAAATAGAAGACTGGTGAGAGATTTATCGAAGTGTCCGGAAAATTGGTACACAAAAGTGTTGAGGTGGAATGATCATCAATGGAATGTTCCTGTTGATGCCATTGGTTTTCATCGCAATTGCACCATTTTTCAGAACATGACATTTTAATAAATATCCTCCAATGTGGAAAAACAAAATGTACAAATAATGGACAATCGGTATAGCTTTTTGTCGGCTTTAAACTCCAAAAACAATCTATACATGGAATAGAATTGTGTGTCCCCAACTGATGGATATTGACACTTTTCAATTCACCATCCTTCATCAGCTGCTAAAATACCATTACATAGCAGCAAACAGATATTTGAAGCTGCTGGTGCCTCTGGAGTCCCACAGACATCAAGGTGTAGAGTCCTCCAGAGTCTTGCAACTGTGCATAAACCTTCTATTCGGCTCACAAGCCATGGTGCTCACAAGCAGAAATGGCTGCATTGGGCAGAAAAATACATGAAGACTAATTTTCAAACAGTCCTGTTGATTGCCGTGCAACCATGGATGGTCCAGATGGATGGAGTAGTGAATGGTGGTGGACGGCCACCCTGTTCCAACAAGGCTGTGACATCAGCAAGGTGGTGGTGGAGTTATGTTTTGGGCCGGAATCATGGGAAGAGAGCTGGTCGGCCCCTTTAGGGTCCCCGAAGGTGTAAAGATGACCTCTGCAAAGTATGTGGAGTTTCTGACTGACTACTTTCTTCCCTGGTACAGAAGGAAGAACTATGCTTTTCGTAATAAAATCATCTTCATGCATGACAATGCACCATCTCATGCTGCAAAGAATACCTCTGCATCAATGGCTGCTATGGGGATAAAAGGTGAGAAAGTCATGGTGTGGCCTCCATCCTCCCCTGACCTCAATCCTATTGAGAACCTTTGGAGCATCCTCAAGCAAAAGATCTATGAGGGTGGGAGGCAGTTTACATCCAAACAGCAGCTCTGGGAGGCTATTCTGACATCTTGCAAACAAATTCAAGCAGAAACTGTCCAAAAACTCACAAGTTCAATGGATGCAAGACTTGTGAAGCTGCTATCAAATAAGGGGTCCTATGTTAAAATGCAACGTGGCCTGTTAAAATGTTTAAAAAGTTAAAATGTTGTTATAAGTTTGATTGTAATAGCTTTTGATTTCAGTAAATATGCTGCAAACACAACAAATGACAATTTTCAGTTCTTTGCAACCTATAAGGTGTTTTGAAACTTACTGTGCGTAATAATTTGGAACAGTGCCTTGTAAGTTTTTTATGTTTAAAAAAAATACTGTTACCGTTAGGAGGTTTGTTCAATAAAATTTAAATTGTACTCTTAATAGTTGATAACATGAGAATTATGCTGACTGTTATTTACATCAATTATTTAAGTAAATGAGAAAAATATCAGTTGCATAATAATTTGGAACAGGGTGTATATGACGCATGGCACTGCTGTGAGCTTTGTTAAGGAGTTCTAGCCTTTGTTTGCCATATCTGGCGATTTCTGCAACACTATGACATGTGTTTACGTTGTCTTAAATATTTATAGAATAGAACAAAAACGGACTAAAAAGATTAGCCGATTGAAACCTTAGATACGAAATTAAGGATAACCCACAGTAATCTGAGACCAAACACAGGAGTGAGAAATAGAATCCATACCACGCAATACGTCTGAATGGGAACAAGAATAAGGCTAAAACCGTATTAGTTAATTTTTATTAGGCAACAAAGGAGTCTTAAAAACACCCAGTGTACACAAAACGTAAAGTAAACCTACTCCTAAAGTGCACACCTGTGTATGTGTACTGAAAGGTTGGTAAATACTCCAAAAACCTATGTCCTGCTATTAAACATGGGGGTAGAGCATACCCTTATCCTTACAGGCAGCTAAAATTGGTATTTCTGTGCTTCGAGCTGCCAGGTTTCAGGGGTTTATTACACAAATTAATGGTCACAGAGCCAAGAAAATGGTAATAAAAGATCACATATTAAACATGCATTACCTTAAAGGAAACCTATAGGCTAGGAATCCAAAATTGTATCCCAAGCATTATAGTGCCCCCCTCGCACTTCCCCACACCGTGCAGAAAGGGTTAAAATCGCCTAATTCACTTTACCTGAAACCAGCATCGATATCCCTCAGCACTGGGCCAGGCTCTGCCTCCGCTCCTCCTCCCCAGACAGCAATCACATTTGGACAACCTCATAGGAAAGCATTGAATCAATCATTTCCTATAGGGTTTTAGGTAACGTTGGATGTCCTCATGCGGAGCGTAAGAACGTCCAGCGTCAGTTAGGAGACCAAAAGTCGTCTAACAACCCAGAAGCGCCTCTTGTGACTGTCTTGTAGAAAGCCAATAGAGGTGGAGTTAACCCTGCAATGCAATTATTGCAATTTATCAATAACTAAAATAATTACCATTGCAGGGTTAAACTGACACCGATACTGCAACTTTAGTGTCCCTTTAATGTAATCAGGTTCTGTCACTAACTAATAAATGCAAGATCATGAGACCTAAAGATTCCTTAAAACCTACGCATACCCTAGACTGTAGAATGCCTACATATAAATCTGACATAATGATATACTATCTGATTCAGAGTGCTCACTGTAAACTGAATACTTGTATATGTATTTGTATCATTTGGGGGTAGGGTGACTGCGTGCGCATTCACTCCAACCAGCTCCTGGCACAATGCTTTGACTGGAGGACGGTGGCAGTCAACACTCATCAAGTAACCTTTTTACAATAATCATTTAACCAATTAGGTAGATGCCCATCAGTTTATACTTCAGGCTAGCAAGGCATCATGGGAGTTGTAGTTAAACCAGGGCTCCGAATGTCAATGCCTATGCTTCTACACAGGCCTAAAAATGACTTGCCACTGAAAGCCTGGAGGATCCATGGCACAGACACCGGGGGTAAATTTCTACTCGCCAATGGCTAATAGACAAGTGGAAATTTTCAGCTACAGTTTAACAGTTCGGGATCTTCCTTTGGCCAGTTCCAGTTTTAATCTATATACTTCCCAAACATGGTTCAGACTAAATCTATACCTATCTGAGTGTGAATGTGTCACACCATTGTGTTGATGACAAACAGGTTCACTTTAACGTTTAGGATTATATTTACACTTTATTAGCACACGACTCCCTTAGTGTAAAAGGTCCATCATCATATAATTAGTGTTGATGACAAATACTAAGGGGTGTAATACTAAGAAGATGTAGAAGTGTCAATCACGGTCACAAATTTACCAAAATTATAGGATTTTTCTACTATGCTATTACGAAGCTGTGTATTGTGTCATATAAGAACACTGTAAATGTAAAGTGGGGATTTAGACATATTTTACAACATTCCTCATTGAGGATGATCCAGCAGTAATGTGACTAAATCATCAATTTTCATCCTATCTTTCTTTAGATTTAATTCTAGCTATTTTGTTAACCCATCATCTCGCCTCAGCAAAAAAAAAAAATAAAATAAAAAAAAAAAAGATTCATGTTGGCAGCTATTCCTTAGCTCAGATTAAGAAAAAGAAAAAGTTATAACGAACATCCCCCAACTGGGTGACAATATAATAAATGTTGCCTAAGGCCAGAGAGTGAAAAAATAAAGGAAATTGCCACATAAGAATGCTGTCATATCACATTTTCTGGCACCACGCATAGTGAGATATACGAAAGCTGAAGGCATCTGGACAACATCTGATTGAATCAGGTGTAGCCGTAGAACTTTAGGTCCATGAAGTTGTTACAGCTCTGAGAGAATGGGATTGCCTATCTGATGGAAGACGACACCTGGTCCTAACTGAACAGTAGAGCGATCTGAAGTTATCCATCAAGCTACTGTTATTATTTTCTTTTGTTCTATGGGAATGCCAAAATAAGGTTCTAATGGACCTTCCATGGTTTGGTTCACTCCAAGTAAATCATAAAACATCTATTCAAGTCCAGAGAATGGAACTTATTAATTTAATTATTCTTGCAACTAGGACATACAATTTGTAGGACTATTTACCGGAGGATAATAGAAAGAAAAGTTGAATTTGCCATAATAATAAATGTCATCCAATTTGTCTTCCAAGATTCTGCATGATAAAAAATTTTTTTTTACCAACAGTGAATTTCTAATTTCCTAGAATTAAAGGCAGTACCATATTCAAAGTTCTGCACATCCACAGAGAGCATCACATTCGCAGGGCAACGCAATATAGCCAGTGCGTGCATTTCACCATCCATACTGCCCAAGAGTAGCTCCCTGGAGTTCTCCCATCTGATCCGGCACGGGCAAGATGGGAAGACTCAGCTGAAAGGTAGGCACTCTTGAATTACCACTTCTATTATTTACGCTTCTAATGACTTACCATACTACTACATGTATTGTCTACCACATGCACAAACAAGACTGGGATTTTGGGCTGCCTTATACCGAGATCGAGGTCCCCAAGGCCATTACCCATATGAAAAAGAAGGGCCAATGGGAAGGACCTACATTTCTCCTACTCTTATCGACAAAGTGAGAGCAATAATGAAGGCAAATTTAACGGTCAGCATGCCCAAGAAAATGTGCGACAGTGTATTAAAACAGTGTTCCCCAACCCAGTCCTCATGGACCACCAACAGTCCAGGATTTATGTGTGTCCCTGTTTTATACCAATGGAGATACTGACAAGATCTGGACTGTTGGTGGTCCCTGAAGACTGGGTTTGGGAACACTGGTTTAAAAGGTTCAGTAGTTTACTGTTGAAGAACAAGTTAAAGTCTCCAGGTGGAATCCTAGCGATAAGTCAAATCCTAGATTTTTTTTTTCCCAAGAAAAACCTCTCATAACCTACTCCCCACAACAATTCCTTGCTTTATATAACTCAGTGGGTTATTATAGTACCTCCCATGAGCTATGTCAAGTCCTCTATTGCTTTAAGATAGATCCCAACCTAGAGATCATTGGGGAAAAAATACAAAACAAAATATTCACTAAACAATGAATGAAGGAGAATTGTAAACTGGAAACGACTCAGGTTTGCAATTGAGTTTAGAATTCACTACCATTCAGAAGATGTATATTCAAAGTTTGTGGTGGTGGGGGGAGGAGGGGGGGTTTAACAGTTCCACGTCCCTCCAGTCTCTTAAAGATTCGCTATCTCTGAGATTTATTATATCTAATAAAACTGACTGTTTACACTTGATCAAATAAATACAATACAAATAGCTATGACAATGAACAAAGTTTGAATAAAATATTTGCTGAGAAGGCTTGTCCATTCAGACGTTCCATCCCAATAGATGATTGATAATGCTGCCTCTTCATTGATATAGCAAAACAAATAAGATCATACTTGCTCAAACCAAGATTTTATCACCCGAGGATAAGGACAATGACATATGTGACTTGGAAAAATGTTAATGTTAATAAATAACCTTGTTTTGATTGTACTTACACTATACAGAGCCCACTTGTATTAAGTGAAAGACACTTATGTGTAAAAAAATACAATAAAAGTAAGGTGTTTCTTGCAGCTGGTAACGCTAAGAGGACCTGCGTGACTTGACAATGGATTTACAGGTACAAAATAGTCTGCAGACATCAAAATCAGATGTCACGCATGGATTATGAAGAGCATGCCCAAAGAAACATGTACATATTCCCAGTTAAACACATTTTTAAATCCTTTGATTACAACTTGAGTATCAGAAGCAACCACTGTCAGAGGCAGGCGTCACCGAGCTGTCAGGATAAGATCATCATATGTGAAACATTTGTTTTTTTTGGAAGCGATTGCACAATATATTTCAGGTGGATGGGTCACATTTTTGTTATTTGCACAAAGAAAGAAAAGAATTCTATGATTCTTCTGATTCATTACAACTCATTGTTTATTGAATAAGGCCACGTCTGCTAACTTGACAGCTGGCTTACTTCTCATCTCAAACAAGTTGCACAGCAGGTACAGATGATGATTAAGCAGAAAATGTTCTGACGGCTAAACCAAAAAAGTGTGGCACAAGAACTTTAGGAAGTAAAATATCATAAAACAAAAAAAACCCATACTGGGTCACTGACTTGGCTGTGATTTGTCAGGATTTCATCAAGGAACTGCAGAAATCTGGGTAAAAAAAACCAACCTAAATTTAGAAAATCCTCCCAAGTCATTAATGATTTCAGCTCAGCTACATTGGCCTCGAATTTCCAATCACCCTGTGCATTTCTGTCTAGTGAATAACTGTGATTGCTGCACATTCGGCGTCTTCCTCCTGTCGTTAGCATGCTAGATGCCGGGCGCTTAAAACTCATCTTTTATTGACGCATGTTGCTCATTTAAGGTGCCAAGTTTGGACGCCGCCAGTCATATTTTGGCATCCTTTAAAGCACTCGGCCGCTTATGATCTATTTGCCAGTTTGTGGTCTTTACTTGTGTAGTGTTGTGCTCGTTCTGACACGTCTGCTGCATTTGGATGTATTCTAAGAGGGTTTGCCATAACCTGAGCATGGAACACCATTTATTATTTGATAAATTATCTCATAGGATGTGTGCAGCCGTTGGGCATCACCTTACTTACATGGTAAGCCTGACAGACAGACAACGTTGGGTTAATGAGATATTAACCTCAGTCCTCTTCCAGATACCCTATTTTCAATTTGTAATGTGCCAGGGATATTATCATAACTCACCGTTCACTTGGCCAGTCCTCAGGCTGGCTTCCCGTTTCCTTCAGGTGCCAAATCAAAGGGCTGGCACCAACTTACATAATAAAACAGAATAAATAGATAAACCTCGTCAAAACATAATAATAAAATGAGCCCTTATGTGAAGTAGGTCGTAAAAACATATACATACACAGATCAAAGAGGCTCTCTTTATGTAGTGATGAAAACGACCATCCAAGAGGATACCATACTTCTGATAAAACACCATGGTGAAACACGTAAGGTGTAACATAGATTGGATTTTATTACGATTCTTGATTTTTATTTTTATTTTGTTTTGATTGTTTCTGCTTTTTAATTTTTTTTTTGTTTTCATTTCAATAGCATTATTCTTATTTCATTTTAATTGGAGTTTTTTGTTTTTTATATATTACTGTATTTATTTAATTTGGCTTCCTGGTTCTACACATCTACACCACTAGACCTCCATTACACTAGAGCAGGTATGATCTGCTCTATGTAAGTAGGATACTTACCTTTAACAAATATTTTTTACATACTGTTCCATTGAAATTCTCTTGTTTATACCTCCACAGATTGTCCCATTATCGGAGGAATATTATCACTGCTGACCACTATATATCCCGAGACGGGGATTGCACCTTAAACGCTGACTACAGCAGAGCTCTTAGTAGCTCTAAAAGGTGTGAGTGAGCCTTTGTCATAGAGTTTATAACTTATTCATTGTTGTAACATATTGCACTATTATTTGTCTATTTATCTTCTCTTTGAGTCATTCATCACTATATAAAAGAGGTTCTTTGATCTATGCATGTATATGTTTTATGTACTACTAATAAAAGGGTTCATTTTATTATCTTTTGGCACAGTCTTTTTTTTTTTCTGATTGTGTATTGTAACAAATTGGGGAATCCCTGTATTATTTATCGCTGCCTTATCTGTAGATTATATTGAGCACCTACTCTATACTAACACAGTCCTGAACTATTCCACCCCTCATTATATTTCCTCTTTAATACACAAACACACCTGTTCTCGTTCCCTTCATTCTGTGACTGACCATATCATCCTCTGTGAGTTCCAGAATAGCTAATAGCAAGAATGTTGGCATAATATTTCCTATAGACTGTAAGCTCGTTTGAGCAGGGTCCCTTTTCAACCTATCGTTCCTGTACTTGTCCTATTTATAGTTAAATTCCCCCCTCTCATAATATTGTAAGGCGCTACGGAATCTGTTGGCGCTATATAAATGGCAATAATAATAATAATAATAATAATAATATTAATATAAATGATGATAGTAATAATAATAAATGCTTTTTCCATGTCATGTTTTTGTAATGTTTCTGCTTGAAATGTAAACAGGAATACAAGTCTTTTGCTAAAATAAACATAAATCACACCTACTAACTGTCCCGATTCCACTGGAATTTGCCTATTTATAGAGGGTTTACTTTTCTGGCTTGCGGCTTCTGGAGTCATCAGAGACATCACCTAACAGTGCATCATTAAAGGGACACTATAGTCACCAGAAAAACTACAGCTTATGGTATTTGTTCTGGTGAGTAGACTCTTTACCTTCAGGCTTTTTTAATGTAAACACTGTCTTTTCAGAGAAAATGCAGTGTTTACCTTACAGCCTAGTGATAACTCCACTGGCCACTCCTCAGATGGCTGACAGAGGTGCCTCCTGGGGAAGTGCTGCAGAGTAAGCAGCACTGTCATTCATCTCCACCCTCTGCATGCAGACACTGAACTTTCCTCATAGAGATGCATTGATTCAATTCATCTTTATGAGGAGAGGCGGATTGGCCAGTGCTGTGTTTGACTTGTGCTGGCTCTGCCCCTGATCTGCCTCCAGTCTCAGCCAATCCTATGGGGAAGCATTGTGATTGGTTCAGACTACCACTTCTGATTAGGTCAGCAGACAGGGGCATGTCTTAGGAAGAGAGGGGCAGAGCCAGCAGCTGCAGACTTGAATACAAGTAAGATTTTACTATAATTAGGGATGCCAGAGGGGGGGGCTAGATGGTGGTTTTAACAGTATAGGGTCAGAAATACATGTTTGTGTTCCTGACCCTATAGTGATCCTTTAAATGCTCTCACACTATTTTATATTAATGGAATGCCTTTCTGCCTGTGCAAAATAATTGAGCACTCTTCCCTGGTTGGCTGTCTGGCAGGATAGACTTTTAAACCAGGATATTTAATTAAACAAGAGAAAAGGGTGGAAGTGATACAGAAGGTAAATGGCTTGAGAGAGAAGACAGGGGAGAGAAAAGAAGGGAAATTAGTTGATAGAACACATGGAGGAGAGGAGGACACTATGGGATAAAAACAAAAACAAAGAGCAATAGGTGAAAAGCGATTTAAAAAAGCTGTTCTTGAGATGGGATTGTAGCAGGTGTGGAGACGGAGGAGGGACAGTTAGTGTGACAAACTCCCCTTCCCACGTGAGTTTTTTCACAAGCTTCTGGAGGAGCTTGCTTGCCAGCCTGCTGCCCACACACTGTGGGCCCTGCAGAGAAACCTGTAAAAGACTAGTTAACTGGCTTGGTTCGTGCCCTTTCTCCATGGACCACCTGGGAGCATGTTAAGCCTAATTGATAGTTTGTAACACGTTCCACTGCAGGGTTCTAATTGTTCGTATGGGTGGCCACTGTTCACATGAACGACCACGAGGTGGCGGCCATCTTGTTCACATGAACGAAGGCAGCGGTGTTTGGTCGTCGTGTTCATGGAACTGAAATTGGACACAGAAACTCCCGAACACCGCTGGACTTCCATCATCACCTGCGTTCACTTCTATACGACTTAGAAGGGCACTGTTCGGTGGAAACATTCCCACGAACAAGGTGAACAAGCTCCAGGGTAGAACTATAGATTCTGTTCTGTAGTTTGTTTGTTTTTAAACTACCGAACTTGACTTGGGTGGTTTTTGGATATGTTGGCCACCCAGATCCGGGCTATCAGGGGATGTAACTTTGTGGGGTTTTTATGTCTTTTTTTTTAAGGGTGATTTTGGGGTTTTGTAATATTGTATGTTTTTCTGTGCATGGAGATAATTGACTTAGTTCAGCTCCTGACTCTCTCAGGCACAGAGGAGGAGTTTGTAACTTGTAACTAGTCCCCTCTCATGTCCAGGAGAGGGATTATCCTGTTTGTGTGGGAATGTCAGGGGCGTGCTTAACATTATCTGAAATTGTATAAAAGCAGGCCGTCTGGCCAGATTAAAACATTTCAGCTTGTACTTCCAGAATTATGTGTCGCCTGGTTACTGGGAGGCGAAAGGGCTAATCACTAATCACTGTTCCAGTGTGGAAGATTCAACAGGGAAATTCCTTGTAAGGACTAGAGCTACCAGGACTGAGTGTCGTCCAGTGCCTGGGGGTGGATAGAGCGAGTTCCCCATTCAGCTCCAGGAGGGAGCAGTTCCAGGACCCCAGTCAAGCCACGGCGACTGTGGGCAGAAGTACTGCGCTTTGTCCCCTGTTGCAGCTAGGAAGCGGTCCGTGGCGGAGGTACGCAGCCAGGGTTACAGGGAGCTCCGTTACAGTTGGTCTGGAGTTTTCCCGGCTCCACTAATCCGTGCAGAACATTTCATGTATATTAAATAACAGATTGCTGTTTGTGAAGCTTTGTCGGGGAAGGTAGTGGTGGGGATTTCCAAGAGAGAAATGTAGTGTTGAAGAAACACTGTAGCGATAGGGATACATATCTGTATTCCTAAGGCTGCAGCCCTGATGCCCTTCATAAGATAGGCCCCACTCCCAATGTAAAAAAAAAAAAAAAAATTACAAAAAATTAAAATAAAAGAAATAACACACTATTAATTAAGCACTGAGTCTCCCTCGGCACTGCCACAACCTCCTCTTTGGATTGTGTCATCCTGAAGGCATGTCAATCCAATGCTCGTCACAGACCTTAGGAGCATGCGCGGCACTCACCGCGATGTGCCAAAGATTCTGCTATACTGAATCACTGAATACAATGATTCTCCATGGCCGGCCATGACGGCACTACACATGCACGGTATGCTATGGTAGGAGTATCTATAATTAAGATACCCTGGGGCTTGGCAGGACCGCAGACACTATAACAACTTCATTAAAATCAAGTTGTTAAAGTGCCTATAGTGTCCCTTTAATGAACAGACAATTGATAAATAAAAAATCCTTATAATGTGCGTTATTCCATGTGTGCATTGGAAGGTATTAATATCATGCATTGTCTAGTCGCCGTTTTCCATTTCCCATCCACACGCACAAATATAGAAGGTATCATTTACATCTTTTTTTGTTGGGAAGAGACATTCCCCTCCCCCTACTCGTACAGAATGACGTTTGCTGACATTTTAGCTCAGACAGTGCAGGTTTAATTGCAAAACAAACAAAACATTGTGGTTGTCTGGATAATGCTGTTTAGGTTAGGAGAAAGGAGTAAAAGAGAAGAGAACAATAGCAGTACAAAAAAAATATGCTAAAAACTGGCTGGGCAGCTAACCAAATAGTCTCATTTAGTAAAATGGCATTCTTTTTTTTTTCCCTTTCCTTATACCATGTATATAAATGATTCTACTACCACCTTGCCATTATTTATATTTATTATCTTTTTTTTCCCTTGACTGATGAATTGTGGGTAGATTACCCTGGCAACTGAAACTGAACTCGCCCATTGCCGAAGATCACACTCCCCATAAGAAAAAGTAGTCCCATACTTTTTTATACATATACACACACACACACACACACACACACACACACACATTATATATATATATATATATATATATATATATATATATATATATAAAAATAACTAAGGTTAATTTAAAAATTAAAAATAAATAAAAACAAGCGAAAATAAAAGGACAAAAAAAAGAGACTAATCTAAAACCAAAATCGACAAAGTGATAGTGCTTTAAATGGACAACTTCTCATCATACAGCTAGTGATGGTGCATAAAGTTCCCTGGACTGTGTCTGCACAGAGCCACTATAAATGGAATTACCTGCCAGAAATACCTGAAGTCTTACTTGCCATCCAAGTTCAGAGTGTAGCGCATAAATAATGCACAAGTATCTACTTCTCTCAAGCCACAGCTGTTCGCCAGGTGGCTTGCGACATTGTTGCGCACAGTGTATTCACAAAACCTTTGGACATGACTGCAAACCGGCTGGTAGCAGCTTAATAAGAAGTTTGACAAATGTAATCTGATGAGAAGATCTGCAACTGATGGTAAAAACTACATATCCCATAATACCCAGCTGGACAGATAATAAGAAACAAATCAATTGACCAGAATTAAAAGGAGCCCAATTAGTGAAGGGCCCTTCAAGGAGCCCCATTAGTAAAAGTCCTTCCTGGACTGGAAGGGATCTGTGTGCTTCTTCTGGTCATGATTACTAAGTGACCCAACATGCAGAGTGTAAATGGTAATAGATTTAAAGGTATACCGGTCCTTAGAATGGCTGGGCTTTACGTTTGATAGACAGAGAATAGTAAGAGACAAGCAGAGTCATGGAAACCAGGAATTAGGGAAGCCAGTAGCCAAGTAACAGGATTGCAGAATGGAGAATGGTCAAAAAAGCCGAGATCCAATAACCAGAAATATACAGAGAATACAACTCACTATTGGAAACCAAAAATTAGAACCACAACAGCATAATAACATAGGTTCAGGGAAACCTTTTATATTATGGCTCTTTAATTTTGTAACCATGCCCCCAAAACGGTCGAATTCAAAAGTGAAGTCACCAGTGGTGTATGTTTCGAATTGTTTTCAAACACACCGTCTCCTGCTAGTTGCTAGTAAACATAATGCTCTCGTTTTACTAGTGAAATATAAAACTGTTCCAGAGAAGACTGTGAAACCATTCTGTAAAAGCCAGAGAGAGATTCTGGTTGACACAACGTATCTGTTGAGAGGCAGAGTACGGTACAAATATACTGGTTTAAAGTAAGGTACAGGCCACAACCTTTCAGTGGACGTAATAAAGGCTGATTCACTTAATGAATTCCGGAATATACAGAGCTATTCTGAAAACCCTGAAAAATAAATACAATATAGCAGAACAATGTGCACCCTCGCAAGATTATGGACATCAAACTATCTCGTACAACATTTCTCCTCACTTTTTCTGTAAATAATAAAATGATGGCAAAATAAATTCAATTGAAAATGTCAAATTATGTTATTTTGTGGTATCCCTGAGTAGCAATGTATGTATGACGTTTCTGCTTTATACTGTGACTATGTGCTAGCTAATTATCCCATAATTCTTTTTTTTTTTTTAATTTTTAATAAAGGGAACTTCGGTAGCCAAGGGGTGAAGCGGTTTGTCAAGGAAGCAAACCATAGTGGAGAAATCTTAGTACCTCAACTGCCTCATGTACAGGTATCAAATTAGTCTGCCCTCACAAGCCACTAGCATTTATTGTAGGGACGAAAAAAAAGACAGGATCCAGGAAAAAAAAATGTGTAACGTCTATAAACACGCACACACACTAGCACAGAGCAGAGACAGCCCAATTATCCCCTAATACCACAAATAATACCGGAGACCCCTCCTAAACTAAAGGCTCATGGCCATTTGATCGATGCAAAATGAACATATTAAGAAATGTTAAATATAAATTCAAGATTCTGATCAATCACAACTTCCCTTTTCCATTTGTAGCTCTTAATCCCTTTAAATCCAACTGCTTGTTCCTTGTTGTTTTATTTCACAATCTCACATTATTTGCACATACTGGCTATAACAATATTCTTTTTACAACTACTTCCAAGGGATTAAAGAACCCAGCTACAGAGCTGCTACAATAGAGTATGTGCAGCGCCATCTTGTGGCTATAACGTGAATCAAATATACAACGTTTTCAAAGTGGCACTGTCATGCCAACCCTACCGTTCTCCTATTGTTTCCACTTCTCTTCCTCTCTCTGAATCTGTTCTTCTTTTCTTTATTTCTGATCTAGTTCTCTTTAAAACATAAGATAAAGTAGGGACTACTTCCTCTTGTGTATTTTTCCTACGCCTGACTTTCTTTGATCCAAGGAGGAGCGTAAGTTAGCTCCATTGCCTGTGTCAGTGAAAATACTTACCCTTTTCTATTTTAGAAAAAAAGAGGGTACCACTTTATGGATTCTAGGGTTTCACAAATGTGTCAGTGGCAGGTGACTGCCATTAACATTGCAATCACTTTTTTTACCACACGTTACACAGACAGGTGAATTTTAGGGTGTTCAGCTACCTACAAATTACTCTAGAACTCCCATGTAGACGCATCTTTAGAAAGAGGGGTCATATGCCCAAGTAACTATCAGGCTATCACAACATCAGCTGTGATCACTTGATAATACCATATAGATAACTAACAAAATCATGGGGCTCCCCGTTGCCTTCGCAAAATGCCTGGATGACCATGAGACCATTTATTAAAAACAGAAATCGTCCTCTTTGAAATAAGTGGGCTTGTGACATATGATCATTGTGGTGCAATTATTTTATATTTAATTATTAATATTTGTACTGTTTTATTAAATTAATGGAGTTTGGACAAGGGTTGGATCATGAATATTTTATTTTAACACATTATAACACAAGGTTTAAAAATAATATTAGGAAGTATTGCTTTACTGAGAGGGTAGTGGATGCATGGAATAGCCTTCCAGCTGAAGTGGTAGAGGTAAACACAGTAAAGGAGTTTAAGCATGCGTGGGATAGGCATAAGGCTATCCTAACTATAAGATAAGGCCAGGGAATAATGAGAGTATTTAGAAAATTGGGCAGACTTGATGGGCCGAATGGTTCTTATCTGCCGTCACTTTCTATGTTTCTATTACACCGCTCGCTGTGAAATTAAACATTTGTGTAGTTTGAAATAAACAGAATACTTTAATATTTCAATATTTTTTCCTTGTGCATTTTCTGCATAAATTAGAAGATGCCAAGTAACAAAAAAAACACCTTTTTATCACCCACTGCTGATCTATGCAGTATGTTTTCATTCTGTGGTTTTCTTTTTAAATCTATAAAGCTTGACAAAGACCTGGTCGGGTCAAAACGTTGCTTTGCTCTATGTTTGCTCCAATAATGCTGCTGATTTGCTATCTACTTGGGTGCCTGGACCAACACTTTATTTTACATATTTGACGTGGGGTCTGACCTTCCCCCGGATCCGATGCACCTTGGTAGCCTGGTGAGTGTGGTCTCCTCCAATTTACTTCTTTTTAAATCTAGACATATTTGATGTCTTTGTCTCATCTCTGTACAACTACAGCTGACTCCTTGTGCTATATCTTACTTATGCAATTACTGTCTGTGACTTGCTATTTCAATAAGCTTTTGAAAATCTAAATTTAAAAATGACACATTTATCTTGTAATTTTCAGTTTACTAATTTGCTGTTTTAAAGAAAAACAGGTAAATAATCAAAGTTTGCTTTTTTTGTGAAGCTAAAATATTTAGCTTTTTTTTTGTGTGTGAAGCATGCCGTGTATTAGTGAAATAATTATAGAATAATTACTGCAATGCTGTGTTTCACTGGATACGCTATGGAAATTGCACCAATACCTACACCCTACAAAGTAAATTTGAAACCGTAGCTCACAAGCATTAGCAGTCACAATATATTTTTCATTCCTACCATGACACTGCCGCTTACCTGAATCCTGTGTTTTGGAACCGCGTAGAGATGAAATTGGAACAGTGCCCTGTGCGTCCCTGTCCTGTATCGCCTTCCCACCAGATTTTCGTGATCTTGTTTTCTTCTTCTTCTTCTTGGGCTGGGATTGTTCACTTGTGTCATCCCTGTTAACTAGGAGTTACAAAGGAAGAAACAAAACAAAAAACACATAAATAATGAAAAACTGTGGCACAGTTTGGTTCTTAAAGGGACACTATAGTCACCATAACAACTACAGCTTATTGTATTTGTTCTGGTGAGTAGAATCATTACCTTCAAACTTTTTGCTGTAAACACTGTCTTTTCAGAAAAAGCAGTGTTTACATTACAGCATAGGAATACCTCCACTGGCCACACCTCAGATGGCTGCTAGAGGTGCTTACTGGGGCAGTGCTGCACAGTGTAATGGACATTCAGTTTCTCCACCATCTGCATGCAGACACTGAACCTTCCTCATAGAGATGCATTGGTTGTGTTGGCTTGTGCTGGCTCTGCCCCTGATCTGCCTCCTTGACAAGCTTAGCCAATCCAATGCTTTCCTAAGGGAAAGCATTGTTATTGGTATTGAGCAACACTTCTGATGATGTCAGCCAAGGAGGCAGATCAGGGGCAGAGCCAGCAGCAGCCTGGAATAAAGTTAAGATGTTACTATATTTAGGGAGGGCAAGGGGGGCAGGGCAGATGGTGGTTTTAACATTATAAGGTCAGGAGTACATGTTTGTGTTTCTGCCCCTCTAGTGTTCCTTTAATATTTAGGTATTTTGGGCAAAGGCTGTGGTAGGGGGACCAATTTACTATTACTATTATAAAGTTATTTTTTTGTTTTTCGTTTATTTCTGTTAAAAGAAGGGGCTTGCTTTTGTATTGTGTGCTAAATAGGCATATTAGACTTCAGTTGTCTAGGGGAATGGTAGATGAACTACAGCTAACCAGCTGGTTAGCTAAGCACCAGCAGAAACGTAGTCCTGGTAATGCTAGAATGCTAATGGCTGGCTATCATCGAGCTTGGAGGATAAAATAAATCTCAATCAATATGTGTGTGGGAATGGCACGGTTACACGGGGAGTAGTGAAAACACAGAGCAGCCCCTAGAAAGGGAACTGAATGATGGCACGGTGTATTTGTGGCCGGTCCTCACCTTGTTTCCGTTTCCGGAACTCTGTATTTTGTTGCATGCATACTTTCTTTCCCAGACTTTGGATATAGGAATCCTTCTTCAATAAAGATGCCATTATTCACCTAAAACATGGCATATATATTCATGATCCATAAATCTCAAAGCATACACACAGTTATACATTTTAATACCATTAGACATAATGGATGCCATTGTTATTCAAAGGTATAAGTTGAAGAGTCAATAATTCCTGGGAGCCATCATAGCAAGAAATCGCTTACTGACATAAGGCGTTGTTTTGTGCAAAATTAAAAATGACAAACCATTTTTAAATAGTCAGTCTAAGAAGCATAGCCACTTTGTATCACTGCAAACTGCATGGTGTTTAGAGAACTCTGACCTCCCTCTCATGTTTAAGTAATTTGCAAAACAAAAAATCGCTGCCGCTACAAGACAGCCCACCAGGCCTGTCAATCAGGCATCCTGGAACACTTCAATGTGGGTTGGCTTGTATCGATTTTGTCGCTGTTATGCATGTGCACACTGCACTCGCAATATGGAAGTCTCTCCCGGGACTAACGGACAGCAGCCACAGTATTGATGCTGCCTTATAACACACTTTTACTGTACTTTTATACCACCAAATAGCTATAAAACATGACATCATTACAATTCTTTAGGCGTACTGTAGCCGTTAAAGTACCAGGATTGCCTTATTTTAAAACGTCTTGACTTCTAACCAGGAGAACCGCCGGACGCTACTTCCTGCCTCATCTATGTCTTCTAGATGCTCTAGGTCTGAGCTAAGTCTGGTGGTGCACGGCTTAGCTCATTGCTGAGAGCAATCAGCTGACACTCTCAGCCACTGAGCCAGGCCTGCATTGAAAGGCTTAGTTCAGGAGAGCCAAATGAAGCTCCTGCTTAGGAGCTGCAAGCTCTCTATAGGAAGCAGTGGAGACAAGGAGTGGTGTGTGGTGGTTGCCATTTCAGAAGTCAAACCATACAAACAGGATTTAAATACTTACAATGGGAGTAGATGTGCACTCCTGGCACCATAACCACTACAACGCTCTGCGTTGGTTATGATTCTTGAAAGTTTACGGATTGCTGTTTAGTACATAATCTCTTTCATGAAACAGAAGCTAGATTAACAAAAAGCTGGTTAAATAGGAAACTAAGAAGCTGGTCTTTAGGATTCATCTTAGTTGTAGTCACAGCTAATCAGATTGTTAATTGTTTGGTAAACAGAGGGAAGGCGTGTAGAGACATGTCACTAAGCTGTAGTCATTATATTGGATAAATTCCACAATGCACGTGGTGATGTGAAAACCAGATCGCAAAATTCTGGAAATATTCTCAACTCAGCTATGGTCGAAGCCTGCATGACAATTTCATCCTAAATATTAAAATTTATTGTGGGGGTTTTTTTTTATGTTGTTGTTAATAAACCCCACCGACAATCTACAATGTGGTAAAATTAACCACATGTTCCTGGTCACACATCACTTGTAAACACTTACTGTCAATACCAGAAAAGGGGACATACTAAAAGGAATGACAGATTGGAATGCCCATAGAGTTTAACAAGGCAGTGGAATGCCCATAGAGAATAATGGAAGTGAAAGGAATGCCCATAGAGAATAATGGAAACAAAATATTTCAATTAGAGACAAAACTATTACACATATGAAATCCATATTTTGCCACAATATTCTCCAGATTCAGTGTCAATTTTTGAAATTGAAATTAAGTGGGATTATCATTGTTTTCTATAGAATGACAATGGCGAATGACTAAAGAGAATGCCCATAGACTATAATGGGAGGCAACACATAAACTCATTTGCAGGTAAATCTCTGTTATGTAGCAAATTTATCTTTACCACATGTGTTCCCCAAGTACAGCAGTAGATTGTAAAAGTAAATTTATCTGGGATTATAGCTCTTTTCTATGGAATGACAGGTAAATGATGCAATGGAATGCCCTTAGAGTATAATGGGAAGCAATATGTGACTTGGTATCTGAACCGTAAAACATATCAAGTAAATCTTTTGCAGGCATACTCTGCGCGTTCAGTGGCAATTTTTTTAAATTGAGATTAAGTGGGATTATCATTGTTTTCTATAGAATGACAATGGTGAATGACTAAAGAGAATGCCCATAGACTATAATGGGAGGCAACACATAAACTCATTTGCAGGTAAATCTCTGTTATGTAGCAAATTTATCTTTACCACATGTGTTCCCCAAGTACAGCAGTAGATTCTAAAATTAAAAATAACTGGGATTATAGCTCTTTTCTATGGAATGACAGGTAAATGATACAATGGAATGCCCATAGAGTATAATGGGAAGCAATATGTGACTTGGAATCTGAACCATGAAACATATCAAGTAAATCTTTTGCAGGCATACTCTACGAGTTCAGTGGCAATTTTTTGAAATTGAGATTAAGTGGGATTATCATTGTTTTCTATAGAATGACAATGGTGAATGACTAAAGAGAATGCCCATAGACTATAATGGGAGGCAACACATAAACTCATTTGCAGGTAAATCTGTGTTGTGTAGCAAATTCATCTTTTCCACAGGTGTTCCCCAAGTACAGCAGTAGATTGTAAAAGTAAAAATAACTGAGATTATAGCTCTTTTCTATGGAATGAAAGGTAAATGATACAATGGAATGCCCATAGAGTATAATAGGAAGCAATATGTGGAATCTGAACCATGAAACATATCAAGTAAATCTTTTGCAGGCATACTCTCCAGGTTCAGTGTAAATTTTTGAAATTGCCCGAGACCCATGTGCAGCGACGGAACTGCCGCCAGTGCAGTTGCACTTGGGGCCGCACGCTAATGGGGCCCATCGGGTGGCCCACACACTTAGGGCCACCCGATGGGCCCTATATCTTCAGGGGCACTGTCAGCGCTGTGACCGTGTTATAGCGCAACAGGGCCCCTTGCATAAAAAAAAAATGCAGCCGTAACGCAAGTGCTGCTCGGAGGAAGTGACGGCCGGTCACTTCCTCCCAGCTCACTATGCGCAGGAGGAGAGCCAGCGTGGAGGCCTTGAAGAGGGAGAGCCATGCTGACTCCCATCAGCCCCAGTCACCCTCCTGCAAAGAAACAGTAAGAAACAGGAGGGTGGCTGACAAATGAGCTGTCTGTGTCAGTGTGTATGTCTGTCATTATGTATATATGTATGTCTGTCAGTATGTGTATATATGTAGGTCTGTCAGTATGTATATATGTATGTATGCATGAGTATGAATGTATGTCTGTATGAATGTATATCTGTGTATATGTATGGATGTCAGTGTCTGTATGCATGCATGTCAGTATGTATATATGTATGTATACCAGTACCAATGTATGTCTGTATGTCAATATGAATGTATGTCTGTGTGTATGTATGTATGTGTGTGTGTATGGATATCAGTGTCTGTATGCATGTATATATGTCTATCAGTATGTATGTATGCCAGTGTCAGTGTATGCCAGTATGAATGTATGTCTGTGTGAATGTATGTCAGTGTCTGTATGTCCTTATGCGTGTGTGTGTCTAAATATAGGGCTTAGAAGAGCGACCTCAAGACATGTCTCCAAGCCTTCTGGGTATGAGAGCCAGGAATCTTACTTCCCAATTCTCATACTGTAACATACCTTGAAGTTACGCATGCATGCACAGTGCTGTCATGGTCGGCAATAGAGAATCATTGCATGTGCCTCAGGCACACAATACTCCTCTCTGATGTGCACTGGATAGACCCATCATCCGGGTAGCGCTAAAGCAGGAGGGGGCATCAAGTCTGGAAGGGTGAGTGTGGCAAACCTAGCCACTTGGACAAAATAAAGAGACTGTACCTTTAAGGGTTGCCTGTATGGTTGTGGGGTATGTGTGTGCATAAGTATAATGTATGCTGGCTGTAATACCTTGTATTTCCTGTATTGGCTATCTGCCGAACACAGATAGCTGTATTCCATTTCGTTTCACGAACGGCACCTTTGCGGGCCGTTCGTGAACCGAAATAACCACCATGTAATAGCCCACACACTTAGAGGTGCTGAACTTCCAGGCTGTTCGGGAGTTCCGGGCCGTTCGGTATTATATTCCCTATACTTCAATCGGTCTTTTGAATGTGTGTTTTAATGAATATGTTTTTCGTGCGGCGTTCGGTTGTTTTAGCTGGGATCTGAGCGGTAATCTCACGAATGATGCGCTCAGACCCCAGCTATCTACCGAACGTCCATTCGTGCAAATAGTCGAAATAGTCGAAGAACTGTACATTTTAAAGTAAATCCACTTAACGGTATATTCCAGTGGGAGGATCCCTCTCGTGCAGCAGTGCCTGATGGGGGAAAGGCTCTGTACATTAAGTTCCCCACGTAGTCCACTCTGGGAATGCCCCTGGGATGTGACTCAGGAAACCCCTTGCATGGGGAATTGTATAAATTGCAGAGCCTGTGAATAAAGCCTTCAGTTGACTCTCAGAACTGTGTTTCATCCGGTTACTGGGAGATTTGGGATATTGCCTTGCTTTTCAGCGCTTGACTGTGGATTACTTTCTGAACCAGCGGAATTCATGGATTTAATACTGCCGATTCGCTACAGTGAGAAATTATTTTGATTTTTTTTTTTTTTTACTCTTTAGAGGGGGAGACTATAGCGGATCGGCAATATTAAATCCCACGAATTCCGCTGGTACAGAAAGTAATCCACAGTAAAGCGCTGAAAAGTAAGGCAATATCCCAAATCCCCCAGTAACCGGATGAAACACAGTTCTGGGAGTCAACTGAGGTCTTTAATCACATGCTCCAGTATTTATACAATTCCCCATGCAAGGGGTTTCCTGAGTCACATCAAAGGGGCATTACAGGAGTGGACTACATGGGAAACTTAATGTACAGGGCATTTCTCCCATCAGGCACTGCTGCACGAGAGGGACACTCCCACTGGAATGTACCGTTAAGTGGATTATCCCTCTGTTCAGCAGAACCGACAAGTTACATTAAAATCTATAACTTCAATAATATTTGGCAGATTTAAATGAATGGACGTTCGGTAGATAGCTGGGGTCTGAATGCACAGTTCGTAAGAACCCCGCTCAGATCCCA